TTCCCACACCCCCTGCGCCCCGCCTTCTCCTGCCCGGGTATCTTCCCGCTCCTCCCTCCCTGCCCCCCGGGGCTCCTCCCACCGCCCCGCTCCCCTCGCGGCGCCGGGGTCACCGCCCACTCCCGCCCGCCTCGGGCCTTTCCGGGGATCTGGAGGCTCCGGGCACGTGACCGGGCGCGCAACGCGCAGGTCGCCGCCGGGAGGTGTCGGCCGCGGTGGCTGGATTCTCCCACAGACCTCCCGGGGTGGGCCGCCCGCAGGCGCCGGCTTCCTTTTCCCGGTTTCGACCGCCCGACGACACACCTGAGTCCCCAGCCTCGTCCCACACCGTGAGGTGCACAGGACGGGGCGCCTCCTTCCTGAGCAGCGCTGCGCACAGGCTTCCCGTCAGCCCGGCGCCCACGATGAGCACCCGCGCCATGGTCCGGGGTCTCGCGGCGAGGCCGCGCCCCGCTCTCGGGCTCCGCGCTCCAGGTCCGCCCCGCCAGCGCGCAGCCCCGCCAGTCGGCCTGCAGGGGGCAGACGGGAGGCGAGCGGGCCACGGTTAGGGGGGCGGGCCACGCCCGGGTGCTCCGGGGACCATTGACGCCCTTGGCCTCGCCGAGCCGGGCAGAGATGCAGGATGGAGCGTGGGAGCACCGACCCCCACCCCCACCCCGGGCTGGAGCCGCTGAGGGCGTGACACCCCAGTCCGGCAGTGCGCGGGGAGGGCCCGCACTCGCGAGGCCCGGAAGGCCGCTGCTCACCTCCTCCAGAAGCGCGTGCGGATGCCGGGGCGGTCCTTCTCAGACTGGCCCCGGGCTCTGTGGCTGTCCTGTAACCCTGAGCCTCAGTTTCTCCATCTGCGAAATGGGGACAGTAACGTCAGCGTGTCAGATTTGTGACGATTACGGTGGTTTGGTTCACGAGAAAACCTGAGATCACTCAGCTCTTCAGTAAATATTTCTAGGTCAGAACACATTCCAAATGCTCTGAGGGATATAAAGATGAGCAAGACAAGGATGCAGGCCATTCTCACTGTTTGGTTTCCCCCCAACATTGTCCTGAAAATTCTCAGTGAAACACAAAAAGCATTGATAAAGAATTCAGTTAACCCTAGATTGTAGATAAATTATCATCTGGAAGACTAGAGAAACTGGGTAGCTATGAGAAGTGCTAAGAAAGTTGACAATGGTAGCCAATGTAAACATTTAAAAATTAGTTTTCCTTTATGTCCCCGTCATGAAGAAATTACCATGCATCAAATTGGTGATGGATCAATATTACATATATCTGATAAAAGACAAGAAAATTTAGATGAATTATAGCCTGTAAAAAGACATAAAAATAAAAGATGGAGCTGAACAGAAAAACATTAAATACATAGTTATTTACAACTTGTATGTTACAAAATGCCCAGGACAAAAAATAAATAGTGAGCAAACTGGAGTACAGTTTGATAATATATTTAAAGCCTAAAACTGTGTCCTTTAAATGAGACATATCAAGTCTAGACATTTATCTTGGGGAAATAATATATAGATATACATTAAAATTTACATAAAAATGTACTTACCTCAATGTTATTAGAAACGTTGAAGTCTACAACCAACAGGGGATTTAGTTGATTTGATTATGGCTATCCAAACTTCTTAATGAAGCTACCAAGAAAATATGGCTTTAAAAGTTTAAGGATGTATAGAAAATTACTCATTCTATAATGCTGAAAAACTGGCTACAAAACTAGTAAAATCCCAGAGTTCTGTAAACATATGCAGAGACAAGTACATATGCAGTATAAGAAATTCAAGAGGAAACAGATGTATTTACCTTTTTCTATTAATTTCAAATGTTTTAGAAAGGCCATATATATCTACTAATTTATTTTTTATAAGCAAAATAAAGCTGGTATGCTAGACAAAAGAAGTTAATCAATCCCTGCCTTAAAGTTGTTTATAGTCTAAGAGATTTCACAACCACATTCTAAAAATCTCAGAATTGTCTGGAAAGGAGATTTGAGGTAATGTATTTCGACTGCCCCCTGCCACCAGCATTTTACATAATGTAAATATAGACACTAAGTTAAAGTGAGTGTGCCCAAGTTTACACAGTATCTCAAGGATAAGACCAGGGCAGGTCCTCCTGGATTGTTTTGAGTCTGTTCTGCTCATGTCCACCATCTCCTGCTTCCTCATTTCTTGTATAATCAGGCCTAAAACCTCATGGTCATCTTCAATAGCTTCTCTTTTCCTACTCTTGTTAACTATTAGTCCTCTGGTCTTTTTGGCCTCTTCTCCTCTGTCTCTTATATTCAATCCCATGCAATTCTACACTAGTAAAATCCAGCTTTACTTTTTTTTTTGAGAGAAAGAGAGCATGGCTGGGGAGGGGCAGAGAGGGAGGGAGAGAGAATCTCAAGCAGACTCCATGCTGAGCTCGGAGTCCAACTCAGGGCTCAGTTTCATGACCCTGAGATTGTGACCTGAGCTGAAATCAAGAGTGGGACGCTTAACCGACTGAGCTGCCGAGGTGCCCCAGGCAGTCA